TATTTTTATTTATGTATTAAGTTTGGAGACGGTAGCAAACAAACGAAGAGAAGAAAACGTGTTAGATTTTGGAATCAGTAAAAGAAATCTCTGCCATTGAATTCTTCCTTACAGACAACTAAGTGAAGGTCACATTGTTTCAGTATCACTTCTTTCCCAATATGAAACGTAGAATTTTGAGCTATTCCTGCCTCTGGTAAGTGCACAAGTAAAAGTGAGATCCTCCCAAAGAAGCAAGAGTGTCAGCATTGATCTCTGCTTTCTATTAGGCTTTCAGTTAATACCATACCCCCCAAAAAATTTTCTACTCCCCTTTTCCTCTCCATTCAGTCCTTACGTAAATATCAGAAATTATCTGACCGAAGAGCAATTCACATAAGGAGGAAAAATGCATCTTCAGGAACCTGCACTTTTTGTAAAGCACATTTACCACAACCTTCTTCAGGAACCTGCACTTTTTGTAAAGCACAGGACAAAGTGTCCATTTGCCATTTCTGGATACTATCCATTAGTAAAATCAAACACTGCATGCTAAAACAGAAGCACATTTACCACAACCCTTGCAAATACCTAGCTATTGAAACATACTCAAAATCTCCGCATGGACGTCAGTGCTCTTTTCAGCGTATTTGCAATTTTAAAAAATTAATTCTCTTACTTTTACAGACTCTAGTTCTACAAAGCACTTAAGGAAATGTTCTTCCAGTGATCCATTTATCCATAGAATTAAAAACATGCAAATATTTAAACCAGGCATTTCTCATGTTCCCCACTTGTTAGCAGGAAAATTGCAGCTTTCTGATGGCAATTTTACTGTTTACTACCTTTCATTAAAAGTGTCTTACACAAGTGTAACACTTAAAACAATACAAATACGTATCAAACCAGGATATGTACCATAACATGGTCTCTTGGTAATTCAGCTGAAGTGCCATAATGCAGTTATGTGTGATCCAGATCAAATTCATACTGCCAGATTATTTGATAATACACAGGTACAGCGTTAGTGAACACAGAGCCACAGGCTCCAAACCACCTCAAGTATCAGGACAATATACACTAGCTAGCTTTTACTCCACTCTTTGCAAATTCCATTTTTTTTTTTTTTCTGCTGTCTTTCGCTGGAATTCTATTTGGGATTCACACTTAATATTTCATGGTGCATTTGGGCATATGTTATAGTGGCGATGTTAATAAATGATTTTTGAAACATGTTCTGCCACTTTATTTTTATCTCTGCTTCTGAAATTGTATGAAACCACACTGGTACTTGAACTTAAATTAAAAGTAAACTGAAAATATCCCAAAGATTTTCACCTTTTTTTTTTTTCTCCATATGGAATCATTTCCCCTTATGTTCTTATCTTTTTTTTTTTTTTTTTTTTTACCAGCCTTCATATGGAGATCACACTAAGAAAGTATTCAATACCCATATTGCTGGTTTTGCTCTGACAAACATTTGGAGAGAAGGCTTTTAAAATTCTCCCGTTCCCTATATGAAGAAGAGATGAAGAGCACTTGTTTTACAAAAATCTGAGAAAATCACTTGGATTTTGCACAAGAGTTTCATGGACATTATAGGGAGTAATCAGAACAGACAAAATATTTGTAATTTGAAACTGTCTGACTGAAAAAATATTCTATGTTCCTCCTCAATATGTATTTTCCACATGTTTGAAAAGCTAAAGTGCTCTGAGGACTTGTTTTTGATCCAGATTAAAGAGTTTAAAATCTTTCCAAAGCCAATCATTAAATGAAGTTGACTGGATAACTTTGTAAACTATTCAGTAAAAGGAAAACAAGAGCAAGTATATTTTCAGTATTATGACTCCAACATACATGTGCAAAAGAGTGGCACGTAAAACCTTTTGTTTAACTGTGTGTTTGAAGAGTCAAACAATCAGATCACATACAGGAACATTTTTCTGCACATTCAGTTTTGCATACTCAGGCATCTGCTTATGTAACTTGGGGATTATTTTTTTAAAAACAGCCAAAAGTTTGGCATTAACTAATGTTCTCTTATTAAATACAGACACTTCCAGGTAAGTCAAAGATAAAATCAAGTGATATTGCCCAGACTTTGATTCACCTACTTAAAATAAGTATTCATAGAATCATAGAATCACAGAATGGTTTGGGTTGGAAAGGACCTTAAAGATCATCAAGTTCCAACCCCCTGCCATGGCCAGGGACACCCTCCACTAGACCAGGTTGCTCAAAGCCTCATCCAGCCTGGTCTTGAAGAACTATTCTATTAGAAACAACACTTTGCATAACTCAGAAACTTTAAATAAAATGGAATAGGAATAATTGATCTTCCAGTATTGGTCAATAGTTCTTAACTAAAATGTGACAGTTTAACTCATGCTCTGCAACCTGATACGAGGTGGAAAGATAAGGTTACCGAAAAACAAGCACTAGATGCTGTTATCTGTAATATTGATACATCCCATGTAATGCCTATGAAGCTTGAGTAATGAGATAAAAGCTATATAATAAAGTCTGCATACAGTAAGCCCTTCTCTTGGCATATTTTTTATATTGGCTGGTAACAATCTAGTAATTTTACTTCCAGAAAACTCCTGAAGATAAAAGGAATGTGATAATGTAAAAAAAATATTAACTCAATTAAATTGCTAAGGCAAAAGTGAAAGACCAAGGGAGATGGAAACATACTGCTCATCCCAGCTGTATTTTGTAGCTCCTCAGGTTGTTCCAGGAGCTTTCCCCTCAGCACTGGTGACTGCCCAGCAATTTTCAGTGCTGCCCTGAGCTACTGGCACAATTAGGAGGCTATTAGGGGTTAGGATCAGCTTCCTTTACCAAAGTTCAGGAAATAGTCAGAGAAAATGGGATACCAAATTGCATACTATTTCTTTGAAGGATATAAACCCAGGCCACTTTCAAAAAGCACAGTGGAGATTTTCCATCTATTTTCAAGCTTTTTTCAACTTTAAATAGAACCTAATTTCTAATTTATAAAGTAAAATTGATATTTGGACCTATTTGTTTCTGGTTATTGTAAATTTTCCTCTCCTCTCCCTTCTCTCACATTTGTTTCCTTTCGGTACTAGTAAGAAATTATGGTCTTCACTTCAAGTGCAGGTGTGAGAATCAGAAATTTTTGGGGTTTTTTTCCCCAAAAACTTCCTGTGCAGCTACAAATAGACATCTTGACCTCTACATTAGTTCTCACACCTGATAAAAGAACTTCACCTTTATATTTATCTAAATTTTCTTCGCTCCTTCTGCCTACGATTCTTAATTGCCCACAATTTTAATCCATCCATGCTTGTAAAGTACTTGAGGATTTCAGGATGAAAGGTGCAAGAGAAAAGCAAAGTATATTGTTTTGTGTTAATTAAAACATCATGCAATGGTTTCCAAGAATTTTTCCTGTGAGCTACATTTCAGGTGCTTGTCTACCCTGCTACAGCAAGAGACAGGCTCTTCTCAAAGGCAAGTCATACGAGGATCCTGACTTTAGTCGATGTTGTCAGGCCCGAGAGGAGCGTCCCTCTCCAATAATAGCAAAGGGAGCCTACGGAGTTTACCTGCCATCTTTGTGAATATTTTCCTTTGTTATATAGTCCTTAACATTACTTGTGTGCCTTATTTTGTCACCACTACCAACCCCAGAGCAAATGGTGAGCTGAGAAGTTTTCCCCCTTTTATTCACAGGGGTCTTGTAATGTTATAAGATACCACGATTTTTCAAGCTCACCTGTAATCTTATTTGGGAAGATTTTTAAATGAAGCTGAATTAAATCAAGATCATAAACCATGTGGCCATGGCTTAGAAGAGAGCCATTTTTCTACCACCCATTTTAGAGTTTTGGCTGTGGCCCTGTTCTGATTTTACTGCCTTCATCCAATTGCCACGTTCCCCTGCTGCAGGCAAAAACTGCTTCATTTACTCAGCAGGGCCTCAACTTCCAAACAAAATCCAGCCTCTAAGCAGAACAAACTGTTCTAGCAATCATCCTAGAATTTAGCAGAGGTAGACCACTTGCTACTAGTTCTGGTTTATTGCTGGAGCATCTCCTTTTATTGCTTCCCAAGGGATGCCTTCCATGGTTCACCCCCTAAACGCTCCACCTTTCTTCTCCCTTGTTAATCATTGCTTCAAGAATCACGTCCATAGTTAGGAAATAATGAAGGATTCAGGGTTACATACATACCTGTTCCACAAAGACTAGAAAATTCATTAACAATGTGTACCTTATTCATTATAATCATCGAATTTGGAAAGTCTTTTAATGGGTAAACGGACCTGAGACACATATGAGAGATTACACATTTGTTGACATATTCATCCAGATAAGCCTCACACAAGAAGAAAACAGGGCCAACGTGCTGAGGTTCCTTTGTAGATTACTGCAGACACGTTCAGATCAAGAAACAAATCCCACCGATTACGACAGCATATGTTTTGCATATGGTGGAAACGCACATCTTTTACACAGAGGGTTTTCAAGTATAGAAAACAATCTCACGTGTTTGTAGAGGATTTTAAAAAAAAATAATAGTGACTTATTAATGAAACATTTGTGACTAGACAGTAAGCATATAACTTCTTCCTCTTCGACTGTTGCAAATTATGGCTTTTTTAACGTAAGAACTGCCCCCATTTCTCTAAACAGCCCTCAGACTGAGGATCAGTTACATCACAATTTGTACTGTGTAATATCTTTTTTAAATGTATGGAGCTATATACCCAGAACGTCCTATCTATAATTTTACAGATAGTGATCTGTCTTTCCAGAAGCCTCCAATCCCTTCTTCTGGATAAATTTCAGTACAATTTATATGCTCTTTCTCTCACTGTGGACATTGTAAAATATTGTTTCCCTCCCACAAATAGCAAGAATTTCAACATAAGCAAGCTCAGATGGCTGAAGAAACAAGGAAGGATGAGAAGACAGTTGTGGGGAGGGGGAAGAGCAGGCTAGAAACCCTGAGAATACTTGTCTCAGAATTGACAGCTGGAGCTTTATAGGATCAATGGCATTTGCACGTCATTCAGGGCAAAAGTTTGCCACTCTCTTCATCCAACCGTACTTAGGATCCCACAGCTGAACTTGTCAATGAAATCCACTCTCACAGTTTAAAATAAAATTTAAAAAAAAAAAAACCACAACCAAAAAATAATGAATATAAATGTGGAAGAAAGGCAATTTGATGTTTATAATTATCGGGGTAAACTCCACGACCTGCTGAATGTATGCAAGAGGGACCCTGGATGGTGTATATAAAAGTACCATGTGCAGAGAATAAGAGCAAGTATTGAGACTTCTTTCTGGTAGAGCAAGTCATCATACAGGATCCCGACCATGACCAACAAGGGGACTTCGCTGAAAGGTAAGATATTTGCCATTCACTTGCTGAAAACTTTTATATTTCTTTAAATTTAGATTGAATTAGGAAATAAATTAAAGGTAACAGCGCTAGAAACGGAGGTCTTCCATCCACCTAGTCTTCCAGTGATGGTGAAACCTGCCTCCACCTCAAACGTTTAGTGTCCAAAGCTTGGAATTAGAAGGCAGCTTGATCCCTTTTGTACTCAGTCTTCTGTCTCCTAAGACTACCTTTGCATTGCGCAGTGTCACAGAGAATTGGCTTGAGGGATGCGACACCTGTACACTGAAGACTGGATCCAGACTGCTTTGCTACACTGCACGGAAGGCAATGACTCAAAGTCATTATCCAGAAGTCTAGAATTGATGTGGTCATTTTGAAGCGAATGTTTTCACAACCATCTTCAACCTTCTAAGCCAACAAGTCTCAGGTTTTCTTATTCACAGAATTACTCCCCAGAGTACTTGCCTAACTGCATCATGTGGCATGTGCCTTGTCCATGGGGGAGGAGGAAGGCTTATTTCAATATTGTGTAACTACACTTTTCTTGAATTTAGAGCTAGAAGGAAACTTATCACAGGATAACATTAGGGACAGCTCTACTGATTGATGTAGTACACTTTACTTTAGCATTTAAAATAAGTCTAGTGAACCAACACAGCTAGCAGGCCAATTTCCAGAAATAAAACTCTCAGAGCATAGAACAGTGTTCTTTGAATAAGTACTTTCATTTACCAAATATTTGCTTTTAATTTTTTCCATTGTCTTTCTGTGCATATTTTGTTTCACTGAATAGAAAACTTGATTCTGTTAAGTTAATATTAAAGATGAGGTTTTGTGTTTTAGATAGTGAGAAGTCCTCTATATCAGTTTCAGAAGCTCAGGAGAAAAGACAGAAGTTCTCTCTGACTTCCTAGCAGTATGCAACTTAGGGTTAAACTGTAAAGAGCAAAGCAGCACAGCTGCTGGAAATCTTCTGAAGGAACTCCCAGGACAATCAAAACCTTAAGAGAGTGACCTAATCACCTTCCCACAAAATTAATTTAAACTCCAAATGTTTGCAAAGAAGAAAAGGACTTGTGGGAGGAGGAGGAGGAGGGGAAAAAAATAAAAAAGAAAAAAAAAGACCAATCTGTTTTCCAAACTTATATATCTGTGCAAATATATAATTATGTATCTATATTTACGCTATGAGAAAGGATAACAGAATTACAGCGCTTCCCTCCTCCACTGATTTTCAGCAGCCAGCATAGGCAGTACCGAAATCACCCAGCATCTGGCTCCGACAGCTACTTCTAAATGCACGTACAAGTCACTGTGATTCCATTTTGGTTTGTTCTAAACCTGAACAGGTTTGTTGCTGGTGGTCCTTCTGGTGTCCAACATGTTCCTGACAAAGGAAGGGGTGACCTCCTTGCCAATCTGCCCCAGTGGATCTGTCAATTGCCAACTTTCCCTTGGGGAACTTTTTGACCGAGCAGTTAAACTTTCACACTACATCCACTTCCTCTCTTCGGAAATCTTCAATGAATTTGTAAGTACTCTGCTTTTTCCTGAAAGCAAGAAAATACAAAAATGCAATTTAGTACTTTTTAAGCACAACCATATGTTAACAAATGAAATCTTTCAATAAGTAAACAAACACAACTGTTGCACGGACAGTGATAGTCCCAATGGTGGCCCAATCTGTGTACAACAGGGCTGACCATTGCTAAGATCCCCAACACTTCTATTAAAAGATACTGCTTTCCCATCATTCTTTATCTGTGGGACAAGTTTGCATTTGCTGGGTGCCAGTATCACTCCGAAGACTTTTGACCTTTACAGCATAAAAGCAGTGATAAAAGCAATGGAACAACAATTAGTTAATACAGTGTTAGCATCAAAGCTCTTCTTACTTATCTGTTCCAATAACACCGGTCCTTGCTGATCTGCAGGATGAACGCTACGGTCAGGGCCGGGGTTTTGTTACAAAAGCTGTTAATGGCTGCCACACTTCCTCTTTAACCACTCCTGAAGATAAGGAGCAAGCTCAGCAGATTCATGTAAGTCCCATTTCTAATGTCATTCAGTGTGAGATAGAGTGGGGAGAGGGAGGGAAGAGGGAAGGATAAGGAACAGAGAGAGAGGGAAATCAGCTCCATCGGAATAAAAAAGCCTAGGAGAGGAAAGCACCAAAAAGCCAAGAAAAGTTGATTTAACATTCACTGATAATAAGTTACAGACTATACAGGATATATAAGTCCTGGTAACTTTCATCTTCCCTTCCTTTTCCTGTCTGTTACATTCAGTCATTGCAAATTATTTCCCATTACAATATAACCTCATGGAGCAACACCAGTTAACCGTGTTTGAGCGGCACTGAGAACACTACAACCTTTAAACATTATCTTAAAACACAATTATAATATCAACAAACATAAAAATACATGTGCTATACAGTGCATACTGTATGTAGGTAGAGATAAATAGTTTTCCAGTACCTGAAAACACTGACACAACTAAACAAATCTATTGAGATATCCTTGCTGTTACCAGTAGGCAAAAGTGGTCACATCGTCATCCAAACACAAAGACTCTAGTGCAAACTACTGAAAAATACTTCTTAAGAGAAACATGCTACATACATCAATTTAATAATTATAAACTTAAGGGAAGATGGTCTTGTTCAGTCTATGCTCACAGATAGAACTTGAAAATACAGTGGAGAAAAAAATAAGCCCAGGTGGACGAATGGGGATGAGCCAGGAAGAAATCTTTACCAGTCTCATGGTGGTATCCTTGCAATCCCAGTATCACTATCTTCTCAGGATGTCATTCAGAAATTCTATTGGGAGCGACAGAATTCACAGCCCTGGGTACATTACAAGTCTAGTTGTGTTTTCAGATGCAGTGCATCTAGTGAAGAAGAAACGGTTGAATAAACTTTATGAATTTTTATTGCCCACAAGAAAGGACAAAAAAACTGGAGGGCTATTGCTGGAAACCCTGTTGTTCAAAGGTGAGGGCAGATGAGTTATGCAGAGGCAAAAAAAGCCATTTGGTGTTGTGCCATAATGTGCACCTCCCATTCAGTACTAGACTTTAAAAAAAAAAAAAAGGATTTAAAAATGTTGATCAAAAATCAGATAAGGAGTTCTGGTTTTTTCACAGAGATAAAACACGGTTGTGCTTGCTAGCTTTAATGCGGAGAGGGTTTAATGATATTTTCCATCACAATAATGTAACTGCTTGTGCTAATATTATAAAACATGACAACCATTACAAACTGCAAAAACGCAATTGCAGAGAGTTATCTAAGATAGAGGACACTTTCAGTGGTAAGCCCTGGAATAAGTTCCCAAATCACTATGTCTGAGGACATTGCTCTAAATGCCTCCTCATGTTGCCAGCATTTAACCTTCCTATTTTAACTGACTTTTTTTTTTTTTTTTTAATATGGGTGAGCAGCATGAAGACCTACTGGGTTTAGTACTGGGAGTGCTGCGCTCCTGGAACGATCCCCTGCTCCATCTGGCCTCTGAAGTACAAAGAATCAAAGAAGCTCCAGACACCATCCTCTGGAAGGCTGTAGAGATTGAAGAACAAAACAGGCGGCTTCTAGAAGGAATGGAGAAAATAGTTGGGCGGGTAAGTGTTAGGTCCTTAGCATTCTTCCAGCCTGTTGCTGTAAGGAAGACACACACAGTGACGGGCCCTCCCTGCCTGGAACAGAGAAGGGAATCGTAGATGTGAAGGAAAAAGGGAGCCAAGACAGCTGAATGTGAGAACTTTTCGGCTTGCTTTCTTCTTTCATCCTTCTTTTCTTCTGCTGTCTTGCAATTTCTAAAGAGACAATGCGATGTGACTGGCACAGCAAAATCCACCATACTCCCAGTCCTGATTCAAGGGAAGGTGTAATCATCAGGACTGCTAATTGTCATTCTATCTCTGAGTATTTAGAATATGCAATCCTGCTTTTTTTTTTTTTTTTTCTTTTAAGGATGTGTCTGTGTTTTTTCAAATGCACATATTTATACACGTTTTAGCACATTTATACACATCTACATACATATAGGTATTGTGCATGGGTTTTGGAAACAGACATTGTATTTAAAACTGTTCTGGAAGTCTGACTTACTGCAAAGATGTGGCATGCAGCAAAGTAATCGTGTTAGCTTTCATTTCTCTTTTCCCACCACACTGGTTCCTCTGAACCCTGGCTCTGGCTTGGTTCCCCCTACATTTGTAAGGTTAGACAACAAGGCTGCTGTCTGACAAAACCCATACCTGAATACGCTGTGCTATCAGTAATTGATTGAAAGCTTTCCTGAATAAAATCAGCTCTAGCTTGTTTATTTTTAAAGGGGCCTCTGTGAGTCCCTGCATCTATCATTCTGTCAGTGAGCTAGATGTTAACAAGAGGCTCTGACTGTACCGGCTTTTGCTTAGGCTCTGAACAGTCGAATAGCATCAAGAGTGCCACCAGCACTGTATCCACCACTTTCCACTGGATCACCGGTGGTTTCTCTCTCTTTCAGTTAGGCGTCTCTTTACTCAAAAACCTTAGCCCATCCAGGCCACAAACGCATTTATCAGTGTAATCAAATACCTCTCCAGCCCATATCCACACGCAAAAAGGGTGCAGGCGAGGACCCAAGAAAACAGTAGAAGTCAGGTGCTGCTACAGTTGCGCTGTCACCACCTTCCCATCCACATTATTTACAGAAGGAAGTTGAAGGCAAGACTGGCAAATTCATTAGTGTCAAACCACATTTTTGAGTGACAGCAGGCCTATTTTTTTTTTTTTTTCCTGATGCTTAAATTGAGTGATAGAGGCTCCACAGATACTCTCCTGTGTGCTTTTATTGGTGGGAAATAAGGAAGATGCACAAGCACCAATAGGCATATGCTGTGTGATTTCCTGCTATGAAAAGTACATTTCTGTTACGTGAGAAAATTAATGACTGTATGTTTCAAGCAAGGAGACTTAAACAAATCTTCCCATCAGATACTAACTCACGACATGAATTCCTACAGGTGTCTTTCTAACATCACAGGTCACTGTATCATTCAGCATTTTTTTTTTCATGGAATCTGAAGTGTGGCACATCTGAAGATGTACTGTTGAGAGATTTGTCTGGTAACATGTTCCTCAAGCTGCCTGTATCAGAGAGAGACGGGCTGCGACAAAGCTGGAGATACACACAAAGAAGTTCTAAAAATAAGTGCTAACAAAGATGTCAAGGTGGAGGGAACCAAAAAGAGATGTCACTGATGAGTCCAGGCATGACGGAAGCTTTGATGTCTCTCCACAGTCAGATTCTACTGGACACCGGTTAACACACTAGACCTCTTAAAACACTACTGACACAGGCAAGCTTTTTACATATTTTAGGGAAATAAACGGAAAAATCTGACAAATACATTCAAAATCTGCATGAAGATATAGAACATTATACAGAAGTGGGAATCAAAACAGGAAACAGTTTACAAGCCACCCACAAGGCCAGTATTTCACACGCTCTGTTCTATTTCCAGTCAGATTCACTCTCATTTAGCATAGTATCATTTTGTGTCCTCAGGTTCATTCTGGTGAGATCGGAAATGAAGTTTACTCTCAATGGGAAGGCCTTCAATCCCTGCAACTCGCTGATGAGGACTCCAGACTCTTTGCCTTTTACAACCTGCTGCACTGCCTCCGCCGAGACTCCCACAAAATTGACAACTATCTCAAGCTTCTGAAGTGCCGCCTAATCCACGACAGCAATTGTTAAGCGCTCATGGGCCTCATCACTTACTGAAATCATTCACCATGGTGTTCTTGTTGCTTTGCCACTTTTTGTTGCAAACTTTATGAAAAGTCACAGCGTAGCGTAGCAGGATCATTGGTAACTTTCAGCATGTTTGTGTGAATTCTGCCTGCAACTCTTAGCAGCATTTATCTTGGTGTTTTAAAGTGTTATAAATCACTTGTATGACAAGAATACACTTTTCTGTCTAATCTCCTCACGTAGCAGCATTTCAGTGATAACCAGATCATGCAGATACAAATAAAAATGTTACTAAAACCAAAAGTGCGTAAAACGGAGTGGTAACAGTGAATGAAAAAGAGCTGGTATGGTTTATACCTTTAGCAGTACCTTCTCTTTTTGGATCTCAGTCTCAGTGTCCAGTTACAGGATATCTTACTTCCATTGCTCTTTACCACCCCTACAAAAAAGACGGTGGGGGGAGAAAAAAGGAGGGACATGAAAAAGCAGATCAATCCCTTATTACACAGTAAACTGCCCTAAACTAAAAGTATGGTCCAAAATCTACTCTACAATCCAGTCTGCTTGGATTGATGCTTTTACTCTGTACAAAAACTGTCTGAGCAGTGAAGAGAAAGATGAGAAATCCATCCTGGCTACCACAGCCATTGATTCCCCATGCAATCCATGGAAAGAGAAGACACATGCGGAATTTTAAGGAGAGAGATCCAGGTGTATCTAAGTCTCTACTGACTATTTGAAGAAGAGGCATTTCCAAAGGAAGGTTTATTATGTTTGAGATGACTATTTGAGGGCAAAGGAACCAATAGGTTTCAGCAGGTCCCAATAGGAAGTGCTGGGCATCCATATCATATCGACCTTCCCTTCACATTCCTCGCAAGCGATGTGGTGGTTGCAGTTGCTCAGAAAACTTTCAAGGTATAAAAAGGCACCAGTTGAGCTAAGGTGTCTCTTGTTCTAAACCCAGAGTGTCTCCATTCCCTTTGGGTTTAGTCACACTGAGAGTTTTTAGGGCACTCGTTTCAAAACGCTACAGTTGAACATCAGAAAATTGGAGAGACAAAAAAAAATCTACTATTTTTGAAAAAATCTGTCTTACAGTCACATAACAAATAAGAAGCCTAATAGCAGCTGGAGCCCTTGCCCATATCTATACGCTGTCTTTGTAAGCCATAAACAAACCCAGCCTTGGCTTCATCGTGGATCTTCAGCAAAGAGGAGCTTAAATTCAAATCAGCTCCCCATGGGTTTGGCTTCCCACTAGACAAGCCTGCTGCATTGCTCCAGAGCTGAGCCAGCTTGGAGGAAGAGGGAAACTCCAAAGAAGATGGGTTTGAGGGCTGAAGCCTCTCATGACAATAACAGAATAAGCACAGCCATAACAGGTATTTGCGTAAGGGATTGGATAACACCAACAGCTAGAAAGGTCTCGTTTTAGCCATCTCTAGTTGTAATGATACTTGAATTTCTAATTATGAATATGTATTTAATGGCCTTTAATCTCTTCATATTTTTGCTTATTGGTTGCCTCAGGCTTTACCTGGATAAGTATATACTAAGCCCATTTTTAATATATATAGAATCACCTGGACAGCAAATAAATTCCTTGTTGGACAGTCATAACTGACATCTTTCATAAGCTCTGAAATGCACACAACTTGGGGCATATGCAACAGCAGTTTAACAACAAACAGTCGTTCAACACCACAGTCAAGGAAGAAAACAGGTAACGCTCACCAGGCAAAACACAAGTGCCCAGACTAGAATTTAATCTGATCATAATCTTCTATTTTCTGTTATAATGCTGATGGGAAACAAACAAACAAAAAAAAACCCCAAACCATTTTAAAGGGGAAAAAAAAGCAAAAAATATTCTTTTAAATTATGACAAGTGCTTAGAATTACAGTGTGAGTTCTTATTCAAAAGAAAACATGAATAATGGGACTGCTCTGTATTGAGCTGGAAAAATGATTATGTCTCGTGGAGTAAACTCCTACCCCAGAATCTCTTTAAAATTCAAAAGCAACTTGATTAATAGGGCAGACATTCATAATTTTACACTTACATGCCTAGATCTAAAACAATGACTTTCTCTAACTGCTTAAAAATTACAGTGTTAAAACAATTGTTTAAAACTTGCATGCACTGGCTTTATTGCAGCCTGGTTTAGGACAATTATGAGTTTTTAATTTCATAATGAAAGATAGAAGGGAATGCCAAAAAAAAAGAAGATTCTAAACAAATGAAAAGCTGTCTGGTTTGCAGCTGTTCAACTAAAAGGGTATTTAAAATGATCTGGTTAATATTTCGAGTTATCACAGCTGCGACAGAGACAGAAAGATGTCAAACCTCAGGAGCATTCAAAGCCACACCTTCATCGTCAAGCGTCCTGGCACCCACAATGCCTTCAGACTCTGAATGTTTAAGCCACGATATAGGCCAGTTGGCAATTCTCTTTTTTTCAGTTGCTAATAGGAACAATACATTCTTATCTCACTAATATTTCGCTAATTAGCACGTTCATAAGACCCGAGCAACTATTGTCTTTCATCTAATAAAACAGTTACACTGCCAATCTCTTATTTTATACAAAACTGAATTTGGAAGCAGCATGTTCTTCCTAAATGAAAGAAACTTGTATCAATCAGAGCAATCAGAGTTTTTTTTTCCAAGTGTATCAAATTCTGGCTAATTCAGGTTTCCAGCATTCAAAACGGCTAGTTTTCTAATTACTTATTCAATACCCAAATTGGCCATATTTATATCTCTGCTGATTTCTTTGCTTAAATTACTTAGTGATAGGAATGGAAAGGAAAGGTCCCTACGGCTGAAACACAGGCTCTGTTCTGTTCCCTTTGCAAATGATATTCAAGCTTCTACAGATGGCACTAAATTTAAGATAAGACCTTGGTGACACCAAATCTAAACAGTATGAAGTCCAAACCAATTAATCACTGAGAGCATTAATCACTAAACACAACAGAGCAACAGAGATATGCAAAATAAAAATCTAACTTGCTATTCGTAATTTGTGTCTAGACTATATCCAACCATTAGAGGAAACAGGAATAATTTACAGGATGATTTTAAAGCCAATAAGGGAAGATTTTACTCACGGTGTATGTCATTCGGAATCAGCTGCTTACCTGGTAATGTGATAATCTCTCTACCATCCTTTTTTTTTTTTCTTCTTCTTTTTTTCTTTTGAGATACTACAAAAATACTCCAATGGTTCAACTTCTAGCAGGAAAAAAAAATACTATAACCTGGCAACTCATCTGTACAACACAGTTTACCCTCACAGTATCATTTCAAAGGCAATCCACAACTCTAATAACAAGGGATACAGTGTGAAAACCACACATATCTTCTCAATTTAATTTCTGAACAACAGAAACTCTCTGAGGGCTACATTTTAAACTAAGTCTGCTTCTTATCAATGAAATGTATATAAACAACAAATTATGTCAGAGATGTAAACTCAGTAATCATACTTATGTATATGTCCGTACACTATAGAAATCAAATGATACAGTCATGCATGGGAATAACATCACAGGCATCCACTGAAATTACCAATCTGTAAAGCTATGTACACATACGACAATTTCTGTCTCAAGCTCTTAATGACTTGTGCTGGCAAATTACTTGGGTAAATCCTGAAGGCTGAAGCTGAGCCTCAGTGTTTAATTCAATTGAAATTTAAGACTGACAACCCATAGGCTTATATTAAGTGTTAAAAAGAGGTTTAAAACTAGTAAAACATAACTGTACCTTTTTGAAGTTCCTTCTTCGGGTATTCATCTTTAGGAATGAAGCTAAATTCAGATAAACGTCGGTCTTGGAAAACTGGGCAAGTAAGGATAAGTAGGAAAATCAGCCATGATTTTTCAACTTTTTTCCCCAAACAGCTCAACGACTATCAGATAACATTTCAACAATTTCTGCTATGACTGGGATTTTAAAGCTATATTTAGATATATCTCCCCATAGTTGAACATTAAAAAAATGTATATTTTCTCATATTGACTTTTCATTTCCTTTTATGTATTCAACTATGAGGAGGAAATGAAAACATGAGTAATGGTGCATAATGTCCTCTGAACTGTATCTTTTTTCCATACAGGTGAATGCAGTCCAAACTGTCTTTATCTTTGGTGAAAAAAAGGTTCAGAGACTTTGCCCATTTTCTTTTATTTTCTTTGTTTTGTGTGGGTTTTTGTTTTTTCTTTTTAAGGAAAATACAGGGCCCACCTTTCAACTTATGATTTCATTGTGCATTGGGAGAAAAACCAAACCTTGTTGCTTACTTCATCACTATTTCTCTTTCATGCCACCATGTTTATGCTCTTTTAATCATCCAAGAAGCACTAGAATCTCATGCTAACATTTTGGGTTTTGGGGAAGAATGAGGTGTCGTGGCATACTGCCTTCTAACTCATGCATCCAAAAGAGAACTGCAGAATATAATAACCTTTTGTTCCCTTCCTAATGAAGGAGTTCTGAAGTTCATTTCATTGAATGGTAAGATTTTACATCAGTATTGGTCAGTCCTCATCATCTTATTTTTCTTCCTTAGTACACAGTGCGAGTGGTAACAAACCAAGTGAAAGAAGGTTATAGAAAGACTTTCAGGGTCACAGAACCACTTGGCTTCTGGCTCAAGAAGTACCAAAGTATAGATCGATGAATGCTTATTTCCTATTTACTATAGACACTGAACCCCACTAAAAGTCCTGAGGACGTATCTTAGAGAGAGACCTTTACTGAGAATTCCTATACTTCACAACCATTTAAAAAATGATGGCATAGGCACTAGTCAAAATTTGTTAAAGAATACTTTTACAATGAACCCTTCTTTACATTTTATACAGTTTACTACCAGAAAGTGTTTTGTCAGGCATAAAAATGAATACTATTTAATAACAATATCTAATAGTAGTAGTCCCTCAAAAATTCCCCTTTCCTGTCAAACACCACCCCACATTAATTACGGGAACACTTTTCCCTTTTTAATAAATGATAGGGTTCATTACACTCAAGAGTTCGGATCACTTATTAATTCAGACGAGTGACAGTGTGACTCATCAAAAATGCTAAGAGCACTAACTCTAGCATATCAAAGAAGATAGAAAACTCATATCATTTGTACCATATACCACATGTTACAAAGGTGTTTGCAGAATGCAAAATACATAACACCCATGTCCACTCAATGAGTAGGAATTAGTTTGCGCACTAAATGAATAACTCTAAAAATATTCCCATTTACTGAAGGTGTTTTTTTCACAATCAAGATGAC